TTAGTCTTTCAATTTATTGATCTTTTGTTAGGTTAGGTTATGGTTTAAATTTTGGTTTGATATGGATAAGTTTTTTAATTTAATAATTATTGCGTCTGATTTTCCAATGAGAGACTATATAAAGTTGGTTGAATTGTAATAAAATATTCTGCTCAGCGAAGTATCAATAATATTCTTAATATAGCTCTTGCCATATGGTGACGTTCTATGACGTCTTTTGGCGTCTTGGATAATATGCCATTTAAAAACTCTTTTTAAACCTTTTAAGTTTATTTGTGGGCAAGATAGAATTAAAACATGTTAGCCATATTATTTCCATTATTGGCAATATAATGTTTCCAATTATATGCATACAGGGTGTTTCGCAAAGATTTACCCATTGTGATATCTTCCAAAATAATGGAGATATTAAAATTCTGGTTTTGTAATAAGACGTTTCAAAATGTTATTTTCGTTATGGTTGATAGAAATATGACACCTGCTTAATTTATCCGTATAGTGGTAATCTTTCGACGAGGGGTGAATACGACCACGAAATATATTATATCTAATATCATTTCATACATTTCCTCTATACTATAATCTGTATATTCTACATCTCAATATCAACAGTATATCTCTATTCATCATGCCAAACGGTGTTTAATGTTACACTGACATACTTCTGTTGTCAACATATTGAATAATTACGGTAATACACGGTATATAACAACAACAGTCAACATTAATGATTATTAAAGTATACAGTATACTTATTGGTTAATGTGGCTGTATCCTGTATATATAATTTATTTACTATTTTGAGCTCAAATCGAATAACATTTACATCTATACATAGTACATTTATGCACRCACACTTTTATAATAATAATATAATATACTTATGTTGACCGTTCCCGATATACATTCTTCTCCCCTTCTATTGTTCTGACTATATGCACTGATTTAAACAATCGCAGTCCGATATCGTTTATATGGGGTCTTTATATAATATATTATGAGAATATCTTTAACGAAAATACCAATAAATACATATTTTATTGATTGACAGCTATAGTCAGAGGTTACATGTGGTGGCATTCAAAATACCCACAATTGTGTGAAAAATATGAAAACGTAAAACCGAATATCAAATGATGGTATTAACAATATGATATTTTGAATCCGACATGCAATGTATTTACATAATTCAATTGGAAAACACTTATTAGATTTAATTAAAAACCTTTATTCGAACAATGGTTAAGAAAATAAACGGAAATTATATTAATTTTGATTCTAGGGATCGGATTTATGTGTATTAAAAAAATCAAAATATTGTATATCTAAAATATATAAATAGTTTATACTGAATCAGTATAAATCAGTATTACTGATGATACAGTTTTAAAAATATGAAGTAAATTACTATACTAGACATCTAGGAATGTATAGACGACAGACGTATAATAAAGTTATATATAAATAACTATTAATACATGTATAAATGAACGTACATATAAATAGAACTTACTTTAATTATATTTTTAGTGTTCATATTGGTTGCAATTAGATATTATATTTTATATCTCTTCAAATGTTAACAGTTTAATGATCTGCGATTTGGTATTAAAATATATTTGTATCTATAGTTCCTATTTCAAACTTATAATGTCAAAAAGGAGTTAGTTCATTCTGCAACAATTTCCAATTCATTTATCATTACACAATGATGGACATCTTAGATTTATCAAGCACAACTTGGACTGCACTTTTATAAGTAWGAAGATATGTCACCGAAAAAGTATACAATTTGGTCATTTTATAAAATGCCCTTCATATATTGAGCACTATGAATATTACTATTTAATTGTGGAGTATGAAGCATATTGTTCATTGTATTTAGACTCTATATAAACATGATATTATATTAACTATAGGTACCTATACTAATATTATATTTTATTACTTATTAGTCATTACCATTGAGTAATGATAATACTTAATGTCTTTACTTATATTATGTAAGTGTACTCACATGTACTACTCCCGTGGTATTTTGATATGCATATATAGTCGCTCCGCTGCTTTGCACTTGCACTTCTGTGCAGTTTTACATTTTTGTGCACACGTACATCGGCATAACCCTGACTACCCAAATTAGATCATTTTCGAGCTGTCTCACGAAGTGAACTCTTGGTTTGTGGCACATCATTGACTTTCAGAAATCTTTCTTTACAAATTRCAAATTGGTTTCTACTATACAAAGTTGAAAGGCRGCCTTCCTTAGTCTCGATTTCGTAAATATTATTGTTAACTAACTGTTAAAACAAAATAAATACAATTTTATTAGTTGATCTGGAATATTAATAACAAAAGTAGTATTTATAGGTATTCGAAAGAATAACTACAATAATATTTTTAAAATCACTACGGGCCCTATATCGACATCTGGAATCTTAACCGTTACTGACATGAACAACTTCGCCGGTACGGAAACGATTTTCAGAAGCTCATTTCACTCTTTGGTAGCTTGGACTTTTAAATGTTTAAGTGATTCATTTCTACTGCCACAAATAGATTTTATCCTTAAAGTTACAGCTAAAATAAAATAAACACATATAGARTAATTTTAATAATATTATCTACTCAACAAGGAATATTATTATTTTATACATTCGGTATTTTCGATGTTGCTGTTGCTGTTGGAAGTAGTGGAAATAGAATTCAGACCTGTCTCGAGGTCTTCTTCGGTTTTTAAATTGCTTATTATATATTTTATTGGTAGAAGTGTACTCTTTGATTAAATTTTAGCTTTTGTGCCGAACATAGCTTTGTATAAGGTGAATATTTTATTCCTGAGTGTAATGAACGGTTTTTTATAAACTAAATAMATTTTAACCCCTCACTCCATTTTTTTATTACAGTTATCTGTCAACCAAGTAGCAAGAATATTTTCAATGTCCTGGTTAGCTCTTTCAACTGAACCTTGGCTCTGTGAGTAACGAGGTTTACCATGAACTATTTTAAGTTCTGGCCACATCGCACATATTTCAATTACAACTTTATTTGCAAATTCTCTACCATTATCCGACTGTAAAATTGATGGTGCTCCGAAAGTTGTGAAAATATCTAATAATATACATACGCTACTTCTTCAGCACGTTTATGTTTTAACGGTCGAAGTAGTACGTATTTTGTGAGTTGGTCTTAGTAAACCAATATAAACTTATACTCACCATCCGATTGTATTTACATATCTATTAGGCCAATCTGACAGCGAGAATTCATCTTAGTAGATGTAATTGGTTTTACCACCAACTCTTTCTTGGTTGTGATTCCTTTTTTTTTGATTCGCAACTATTTAAGTAAACATAATCATATATTTCTATAGTGATATTTTTGTACTTTRTATTTACCTCGTGTTCCATTTTGTTTCGACCACTGTGTCTATTTGATCAAATAACTCTTCATATCGTGTACATAATATTTAATTATTTTCAGATACGGCCGATACGGGTACAATTAACTTGTTAACATTAGTAACTATTAACACGTCGTATTATTTTTAAAGTTTATAATCATTCGGTTCCTTTTTTTAAAATTATTCTCTAGTTGAATTATATCTGAAATCATATAGTTGATCATATTTAAACCTTTTCAAACATAAAGTATTTSAACCTTTTTTTAAACAAATAATTTAAATCTGCATTAAACTTTTCCATATTCGAAGTATAACTTCACTATACAAGTGATTCGTAGTWACTAAATAGTTAATTTTACGAAAGTTAACCAATATATAGGTAAAATGTCTTATCTATCTCATTATACAATTAACACTAAAATCAAATAATATGTGACTGCCCAATAGGTCGATAAGAACAAATCAAAAAATTAATCCAAATCTACAGATAATAATCAAACATTGGTATTTTGACTATTTTTACAATTAAATAGACAAGTATTATCTATATCTCCCAAAATATGAAGGTTAACGCCCTGCAATTGTATGAAATGATCAAATTTTTGTCCGTAACAAATATATGCCACCTGTGCCTCAGACGCAAAATATAATCAAAGATATTATATGTATAGTATACGCAGATAATACGTATTACTATTACATACCTAATACATAATATAAGTACATATATTGAAAGTGTGTGAACATATATATATATCTTTCAGGAGGATTCTGCATTAGTACACTTAATATAGGTAATATATACATATATCTATAGTTATTATGTAATATTGTATCATGGTCGGGATCTCTCAAGGTTTTGTATTTTGATAAAAAAATTTAATTTTCATGTTTCATCACAGACTCGGATATGCCATTATGCGTGTGAGTACAAGACTCAGTAAAGGATCTCATTTTATTCATGCATCGGTGCAATTCTTCACAACAGCTTAACAACTATAACAAGTATTCGTCTGCATGTATGCCTTTTACAAAACACTATAACAATACACACTCACTATATAACAATATCGTGATACACGTACTTAAAAGCAGTTTTTTACAAACACACTTTTTTTAAATATTCTCGATGAAAAAAAAATATACCCACCCACGCAAAATATCAGGTGGAATATACGAGTCACTATAATGTATACTAATATCGTATAGCCGTATATACTATAATAGGTATTAGATACCTACGACGAATGAAGAATTTTTTTTCAAATAATCCGCTTAAATACTCTCGACAGATATATTTTTTGCATGACGATGTAACATGTAAAGATAAAAGGAGCACAATTCATTTCACAAATTTCAGAACATTTTCACTGTATTAACTGAAATTCTGTCTACATATTACATAATACTAAAATACTTAAAGCATCATATAAGCTTATAATAGTATTTTTCTAATCAATCACAACAAAGCATCCCTACCGATGTATTATCTTATATAATATGGTTACTTTATTTTTAGTGGCACTATCGACAAACGTTATTTTGAAAATAACATTTAAGTATTAAATAAAAACGTACGTATAATATAATGCTTTTGCAAATGTATTAAAATTTTGTTAGTTACGAGTGTTATTAGTGAATAGAGTATAGAGTGAGATGCACTATTATTATTTTCTTGTTTTTTTTTTTTTTCGTATTGGGGTTGAGGCATTTACAGCAAGGATCATTAGCCTGTGGAATTGTGTAGGAGTGAGAGAACG